CTAGTTTAAAACCTGATCTCTATCCTCTGGATTTGTTAGCCTCATTCTAAGTTAAACTTTCATTTCCTTTAGACCAGTTTTTACTTCCCTGCTGCCAGTGATATCAAACATCCTGCCTGTCAGCCTTAAACATTTCATAAGTATTTTCTGGCTTTCAATAAGGTAAACAGTGAATCTTGCTGGGAGTCTATTTGAGTCCCATGGAATAACCTATCCATTACAATTCTCCAGTTCACTAACATCTGTAGCTCAAACATACATTGCAACCCAGAATTTGCTTTTTTAATTTTGTATAAGAAAATCATGACACATGCAAAATACAATAATAACCATGGAAAAAATTTCCATGTTGTTATTGTTTCCTTTCTTTTTTTTTTCTGGAAGTATTTCCTCTGCCACTTCATAAAGACAACTGAATGCAATCCTGAGGCATCATGTGCAGCCTTCCAAAAAGAAAAACTGAAAAACAAATAGGACAAACATTAAGAACTACAAGTAAAGCGATTCAGTTACAGACTGAATGTTACAGGTGGAATGGTACGTCACAAAACTGAGGAATGAAGTGTCTGCTTCTGAGTGCCTTAGACAAATGAGGGATTGCAATAAAGTTCACAAGGGATTTAATAATCCAGTCATGGGGGGGGGGTGTGAGTGTTATCTATGGATTTTGTTGGTATAATAAATGTGGCAGTGGATCAGCTCTACTTTACCTCCTGGAATATAGACTCTGCAGTGACAGGCAAAGCTACGTGCCTAGTTTGGAAATATTAGAATATAAAAATAATGCAGTTGTCATTTCTGACAGCCATCAATGCCTCTGCAAATAAGCACCTTCTCTTGAGCTTCTGGGGCACAGCGCTCAAGCAGACTAGAGTATAATACAAAGATGACCTTGTTGCTCTCTGTACAGCTGTACATACAAGCAGATTCACTGTACTGGTTAGGTAAAGCTAAATCCTTAACTCAGGTTGGCATGCTTAAGGGTAAAGGAACAATACAGGGCCTTTTTATGTATCTGTTTATGGAGAAAATATGTCAGGAAAGTAAACGATAATCTCTGAAAGTGGGAAGAAGTACAAATTCCTAGTGTTATCAAAAAGTGATGAAGAATTAGAGTGGATCAAATATGAAATGGTTTACCACTGTGAATGTGCATATATGTGTCCTAGAGTAAGTAACATAGGGAGGGCAAAAAGTCTTTTACTCAGAAAAGAGGAAAATAAGGAAAAAAAATCTTACTTCATGTAATTTTTTCCTCTTGGGAACAGATATATTGTAATAAAAATGTAGTAAGTTTAAAAATTTTAACATCTTTAAATACTTTAATTTAATTTTGTAGTCTCAAGGACTTGGCTTATTAAGAACATACTGTTTCTGAATGGTCATTTGGCCATTCAGAAATGACCATTCTGAATGGTCATTTCCAAAATTTTTTTGGAAATATTTTTAAAATTCTGCTGTGTTGCAAATTCTGCAAGAGAAAATCGCACATTATCATGTGAATATCAATCTTGGACTTTTATACAGCTTTCACACCTTTGTAGAGCTTATAAAGAACAGCCTCTTCACAATGTAAAGGTATATCATTGCATTTTTTAGCTCACCACCTTTTCATTGTTGTATCATTTTAGAAAGTCAAAGTTACAGTTTCATATTGCTGTGTAAAACTGCACATGTATGTCTGATAGCAACATATGCATGTGCAGAGGGATTTGAGGTCTTAAAAGTTCCCTCTGAAGAGACTGAGGAAAGCAATACATCTCATTTAGAAAGGAAGAGATTTATAATTCATGCATGTTTATTAATTATTATGTTTAACTGCTTAATGCCAGCTATATGAAACAAATTGCATTTATACCATCCTGATAGTTACTTAATTGTGCATGAATAATGAAGGAATAAAATCCTCAAGCAAAGCTGTGCCTTCAGAATTGAATTATGAATTGAATCCTTTTTTTCAACATCAAAGTCTTAGATTTTTAGTAATGGTGACTATTCTGCTCAAATGGTCTTAAAGAACACCAGGGGTCTCAGTGCGGGAAGTTCTCAGACTATTTTTCCAAAGGTGAATGACATTACCTGGAAAAAACGAGTAAGATTTACCTTTTTTTTTCTGTGCAAATTTCACTTGTGGAGTGTTCCACAAGGCAATGTTAAAGATTGGAAACGGAGTTGCAAGAGGAAGCAGCTCTAAAACGACGTCAGGAATTCTGTATGTACATATGTATGATCCTGGGCGCATTTTTAGCTAAGGCTTCTGATATAAGGATGTCAAACAGCACCTTCGGACAAACCGGTTGGGAGGGACAGGTCGAGGAGCAGATCGGGGGCTGGCAAGAGCGCGTCCGCACTGCCACCTGGTGTCAGCGGTTCTGTCAGAGCTTCCCCTGGCACCTACCGAATCTACCGGGGCGCGCAGTCCTCGGGGAGTCCTACGCTTCGGTGTCTTTACTCGATATGGACCTACCAATAGGTCTGATGAGCGAAAAACCCTCACTGGCATGACGCATGATATTTTGCTTTCAGCTGTTTCCATTTGTAAAACAGTAATGTAACGGCTTCCTGTGAAACCACACAAGCAATGCCGGTGTTCTCCTTCGAGTGGTGACCGTACTGGGCTCTCTGCTTTCTGTACATCTTCTTTAGTCATGATAGTTTAATGTTCCTCCATCCTCACCTGTGTAATTGCCTCAATTTTTGTTGCCAACTCAAAATAGTACCTGCCTAATGAAAAATACAATGGGGAAAAACTAATATAATATAACCAGCAAATATAGTTGTAAGTCTTCTTCCTCATCCTTAGGGACTTCAGTCAGGCTGCTCAGAGCAAAGATGGGGGAACTGTGTAACACTGCAGTCCAGTCAACAAATATGGCATGTATGGTCATCCTGTAACTGAAAAAAACCCGCATTTATTTATTCTTAAGTTTTCCAAAGAAAAACTTCAGAAGGTAATAAGCTGCCAGTGACTGCAAGCACTCTAACTCAGACTACTCGCATTTTCAGTAGTCAGGGTATTTAATGCCCCTATATGAGAAGTGTCAGTATTTAATCCATCCAGTGATCCTCTGATAGGATTTTAAAAGAATGTGCTGCTTTGAAAATCAGTAATTATACTGTGAATAAAAGAAGGAGATGGGAAAAGGGAGGAAAAAAACCCAACAAAAAAACAAAAATGAAACCCAAACTGTATGTGTAACACAGTCTTTTCTAAAACAGGCAATCTCTCATTTCCTCAACGGCCTGCTGGAATCTATAGACATGAGCAAGCACTGTGCTGCCACAGGGAGGTGCAGGGAGTTAGAGAGGACTAGTGTTTGGAGATTCATGTCCCTAACAGCTTCTTCGTGATGTTTATGTTCACTGGATATTAAGAAAAAGGAAATCCTTTATGCAACTTAAAAAAATACCTAGATTGGGCTTTTTCACCTTTAGAATAATCAGGCTTCTGTAATTCAGCCCACCCTCAAACAAATATGGACAAAAATCTAAATTCTTATTAATTCCTTTTTTTCTACATGCGACATGTAAATTGGTTTTATTCTCATCATAGTGAATTTAAAAAGACTCTGTGTACAATCAGTCTCCATTTACTGCAGTTCATTGTGAATCTATACAGACAAAACTTTGCAGTTACACATTTGTGTTACTAATATTTGATATATTTGCCTCCCAGTTCTCTAGAGTCTAATGGACTCATATTTTATATTATTAGATATATTTATTCAGTTTGGCAAAACAAATATATATTGAATTTTGGTTTTGGAAGGTTTTTTGTTATTAGGGTAGAAACCTTTCTATATGACATGACAAATCTTTGTGGAAATCCTAATTTGTCCTACTTTGTATCAGCTTAGATGTCCAACGCTTTTGAAAATTATGGTATTTAAGTGCAGGGTTTAATCATTGTGCATGCTATGTTTTTTACTACTTCACACAGACTAGCTTCAAACTCTCAATTTTTATATGACTTCTATATATTAAATTCCATTGAAAAGTCAGTCATTGCTACAGACAATAGTCAAAATATGTGTGAGGACATAAATAATAAGTTTATAATCTATCTTTTTGCTAATAATCCCTTAGAGTTTGGGCAGTGCGATCTTCAGTTTGTGGCCAAATCTTGTTCAAACCTATGTAGTCCTACATATGTTATTGTTTATGGTTTTGTGGGCAAGAACACCATTCGTCTTGTTTTAAAGATTAAAATGGCTAAAATCAATATGCAACTTTGTGATGTGAGTAGGCAGTCCTTCTTCTTGACCTTGAATAGAACTACTGAGTGGCTTTATAGTCCTCCATGCCCCCCTTCTTTGATTCATTTGATTAGGTCAGGACTTCCCAATACTCTGCTTAAATGTGTCTGGTTTTAGACAGACATACACCTTTCTTCTGAAGAAGACAATGATATCTCCAGTGAGTTTTTCCATTGTGATGCAGAGGTCTAAGGCTAAGGGATGTTGCACAGCCTTGCTACTGCTTTCTCAGTTCAGGGAAGGTACCTCATTTGTGCCTGGAAGTTCTGGTATCCAGAATGCTTCTGTTGGCAACAACACTGAGTCATGCAATAGCTTTCGTTCTTGCCCGTTGGCTTGACCTGTCTTTGGGAGGAGACCTAAGTACATAGGAAAACAATGCACAGCATCATCTCTAGCCATCAAGTTGGGATCTGACAGTTAAGCATGGGAAACTGAACTGCTGATGCACACCTGCCACAGTGACATCATAATTCCAACCTAAAATGAGTACGGCAATGTTTTTTTTATTTGCTGAAAAAAGAACCCCCACAACAAACAAACGAGCAAAAAAAGGGAAGCTTAAATTATAGTTAAGATTGTATATGGAACTTGAAGATGATAATTATTAAATGAAATTAATTTCACCTGAAAGTGTATAGTCTATGTGTGCTTGAAGGGATTTGATATATCTGAAGGTAAGTTGATTTGTTATAATGTTTATCGGGCAGACAGTTCTTGTAATACTGTGGTTTTCTTTCATAGGTGACAATATTGTATGCTGTTCTTCACATGAGACACAGCTTGAAATATTTTGATAAAATGAGATGCTTGCGGAAAAGATCAGCAGTGTCATTCTTAGGAATCCTTGTAGTTTGCTTGCTGTTCATGAACTTGTACATTGAAGACGGTTATGTTTTGGTAAGTTTTTTAGATGGGAGAAATTATCCTAGAACAACAAAACAGGATGCATCCCTAGTTAAATGCTAAATTTCATAATTCCTTCAATTTTCTCTGTGTACCATTAACAGTGAAGTATCCTCAAAATGTGTCCTTTATGATGAAACCACCTTCCTAATGTATACCGCATACAGTGTGTCAGTAGGATCCTAACATTCCTTTTCACAGAAGTAAATATGTCTCTGTTTATTGGAAGTATGGGAGATAATGAATATAGCAAAACATGAAAGTATCTCCATCAGGTGCCCTTTGAGTCAGAATATTCTCTGTATTTTCCATACTTCTGGATTTCCCTCAATTTTGATGTTGAAAATAGACTACACCTGAAATATTTGTGTGAGCTAATTTCAGTCCACACTGCAAATCTCACCTGTGAATACTGCATTAAAGGCTATTATAAAAATTAAATTATAAAAGGGAACTCTCATTAATTCCATCTACTTTAAGCTCCTTGCATGAATAATTTCTTTTTAGTGGTTTTATTTTATGTTTTTCTCACCTTTTGTATCTCAGATTTGAGTCTGACAGGTTCAGTGCTACAGCATTAACAATTAGACATGAATTCAACTTAGTCTAAGTTTATGATTTTGAAAAAAAAAATAGAAAGATTTGTGTTAGGAATTTCAAAAAATAAGCTTCTAACAATGTAACATAACTCTACAGTTTGTATGTAAAATAGGGGTGTCTCAGTGCTGAATGTAAAACAAGCCCTGAAGTCTTGATTAGTGGATTGGATTTCCAGTTCTTTGAAGGTTGGACTGGGTCCAGTAAAAGAGCATGGTGGCTTAACAACTGGAGCTTGCAAACAGTAAAATGACTAAACTGAATATGTCATATTGTGATGTGATTAGACATTCCTATCTTGATCTTGAATTGAACTGGGAAAGTACGGTCTGGCTTTCCAATATTCTGAACGGTGAAGTTCAGTCTCAGTTGGACCTGAAAAGAAACACAACAGTATTACAAAAGATATAATATACAAATAGTAAAATCTTTAAATTACTTATCAGAACCATATATAACTTCCTAATTATTTTAATTCAAAATATTTTACTTCTGAAATTACTTATAACAGTATTGTAAATATTTACAAATTAAGATTATGCTAGTATTTTTTTAAGTCACTGAAAACATAACCCATGCCTCTATTATATTACTCCGTTACAGATAAATTGCTTTCTCTAAAACTAAAGTTTTGCACTTTTATTTATTTAGCAATTCTTGATTATGATCAAATTTGACCTGGCTTGTCACTTTTTTTTTCCCTAGTGGTATTTGCCCTGATGTTTCTTCCCCATTCTCTAATTGCTTCAAAGTCCCCCAGATGTTTTTGAAAGTGCTTTTATTATTACTACTAATAGTGTTACTCTTGGTTTGTTTTTAAAATCTTTTCCTGTCCTGTTTACCAGCTCCCCAGATGGCTCCATGTCTTATTCTTAATTTTCTCTCCTTTTCCCCATTTTTTTATAAATTCTCTCTCTTTCATTGCTTCTGTCATCACAGTTCTGGCATGTTTGTATTCATGTAGCTCCCAGCCAAGTCTCTTGCCAAGTCTCCTGACAGTTCTTCCAGATCTCTTGATACCTTTATGGTTCATCAAGTATTTTTCAAATGTGTTAGTCTGTTGACTTTTTAGTTTATTTATTTTCAACTTCCCTGACCATGTCTGACAGCTCCAAACACACTATGTCTGGTGTGTTTTCTCTATTGAGGTAAAAGATGAGCAATTTCAGTATTTGTGGCGAGGAGAGAGACACTTGGGGAAAGCCTTTGAGGACAACACGCTAACCAGTTCCCCTCAGGGAATGAGAATATGAAAGTCCTCAGAGCCCCAAAGGCACTCTGAATTGTAGCCTATCTCCTGCTGGACTATCTGCTGAAGGTAACTGATAAAAGAAAGACAACTGACCCTGAGTTCCTCTTCCCGATCTCAGGCAGCAGGCTGTGCAAGGGACTGTGGAGTTGGTGCCTCTGGCACCACATGTAAGGTTAGATGAGTGGTCTTTTTCAACATATTAGAATATTAAAGTGAGATTTGTTATGGCAAGTCTTAAAAAGGGCGAGGAGAACCTTTCTGGTTTTGCTCACAGAGTATCACATGTCCAAAAAATCCCATCACTGTTTTCTGCAGGGCATTTGCTGCAGAAATGGAAAGAACAAAATTACTTAAGTATATTGGATAGAGGGTGTGCAGTTATGCACTGCTGATGCATGTATATTAGAAAAGCAGTTTAAGGTGCTTCGTCTGCAACATATGAACTACATTTGGTCAAATATTTTGAAGACATACTGAATTAATATATACCAGATATCACAATATACACAGTGGAGTTTTTAAACCTTTTCAGAGTTGTAAGTGAACTGTAAGCAAAACATGTGTTTTGCGCTCTTCTGTGAATACTTATCACTATTTTGGGCACTATGAAAACAATAGTACTATTGTAGCTGACACAGCATCTTTAACAGAGCAGAGTATCTCCATAAAGAATGGAGAACTTCTGGCACTTCAACCTATGGCACCCATATAAAACCCGCAAGCTTCAGCAAACACTGGAATGTAAGTTAGAGGCTAGTTAACAGATGAAAGCCAGAACCATCATAGAAAAAACTAGAGAAGACAAACAAAGAGAATTAATCAAGCTTCTCAGCTTCACTGACCTCTGCATAGTAGTCTGAGATAGAAGAAACAGATTTTAATCTTTTGGACAAATCCATATGTCAGTTTTGCTCATCATTCAACAAAGGAATGAAAATAGTAACTATAAAAAAAAAAGTTAGCCACAAAAGGCATTTATTAAAAAAAAGGAAAATTTTTGTGGTCAGCTTAAATATTTTGCTTGTTAAAATCAAATCATTTTGTTCTGACTTTGTCTATTTCTAAACATTTTGAAACTTTTTATGTAGGAAAACCTCAGCAGAATGGGTTTCCATCCCAAAACCTTCTTATGAAACAAGGAATTTTGGTGCTCTGTTCTGGAACCAATGACACACAATGTTTTGACATTAAGGAAAGGCTGGTTTTTAAAAAAAAGAAGTTTTTGGACCAGCCCATTTTTTTTCCATCTGATATTTTTCATGGAAAATCTCCTAAAGTTTTGGTGTATTCTGTTCCTTGACCATTGAGTTATATTTTAATCTTGACTCCAATCATCAAACTTCCTCTCATAACATATGAACAAATACAAAGTAGCACAGAAGCAATAGAGAGAAATTACTCGAGAGATAATGTATATATCAGAATAAATGAACTCATTTCTACACAGGCCTGCCATCAGACTAGGATCAAACCAGGTAAACTAAGCATTCCTACTTTTAAATTCAGTCTCATGACATTACAACCTGTTAGATACTTTCCCTTTTCTTAAGGACTAAGGAACAAATTTTTCCTGAAGCCCAAGTGACCTTATGGATAGGGCACTACTCATGAAGCTGCTCTTTCCCTTCTGTGACTTTACTATTGTTAGGAAAGCCTTTTGGAAGAAAAAGACTGAAGGAGGAGGCAGGAAGAGGAGGCATGGTGAGAAATGTGCCTTTTTTTCTATGCCATCAAACAGTGTTCACCAAATTCAGAGGAAGCTTTTGCTGTCTACATGATCATATGTATTTCTTCTTATCACAAATCTGAGTAGAAGCTTCTCAGAAAAATGGCAAAATGAGCCAGGTGCTAGAATCGAGTTTTGTCTTTCATTTGCAACAGGTTCAGTGGCTTTTTTAATCACTGAAAAAATCTCCCCCACTTCTACATCGATGAAAGTTATCTTATCTGTTGCTGACAAAACCCTCTTTTGAATACCACAGCATTTTTTTGCCAATAATTTAGTATTTGCTATTTTTCCAGAGACTTTGTGCAAAATATGTTTTTCTTTTCCTGTTACTGTAATCTGAAGGGTTGTGGTAGATTTTCTGTAATGTTTCAGTAATGTTTTGGTTTGTTTTGTTGTTTGTTTTTTTTTTTTTAAATGAGGTGACGTATACATGCTTTCACAAAAGCTGACACTGAAAAATGTTATTCTTGGAAACCTGCCTGTCCATGTTTCCTCTTTAGCTGGCACTCACAAATGTGTTTCTCTCTGTCTCTCTCCCTCCTCTATTCTCTTTGTTTTCCTGCTATTAGGAAGGGGGCAAGCAACAAATCAGAGAAACAGCCACGCACCAGCTCAACCCAGAGCGTTATGTTCACACTTTTAAAGATTTGTCTAATTTCTCAGGATCTATAAACATTTCCTATCGCTACTTAGCTGGCACACCTTTGCCAAGGAAAAGTAAGTAACTGCAATCTGAATGTTATGAAATGAGGCAATTTAAAAACAGGTGAAATCCATATAGTCCCTCTGGTATTTCTAGGCAAGACGAGCTGAGTTAAGCAGTGACAATCTCAAAAAAGTTAGTGGGACAGTTATCTCTGCACAGGCAGTTCTAGAGTAGATGCAAGTCCAGACCTAGCAGTGATTGCTCCACAGCCTGGTTACCGTCTGACCAAATGGCTGACTTGCAGACAGCCTGCAAGCAGCCCCCGGATGGTCTGTGTGAGCATACTTCTATGGATGCCCCCCTAGGCAAGATGATGATGATGATTTAGAAAGCAGAAGCAAGGCATATATGCTGGTGGTTTTCTGTAACAACTCTCTGAGACCATCCTGTCAATCTCTGTCTGTATAACCAGTAAATCCAATCTTAAATATGCTTGGGATCCCACAGGTACAGCCTTCAGGTTCCCTATTCTGCCAGCCCAGCAGCTGCAAATGGAACTCCTTGTTCCTTTAGCTGTGATAATAAGGGATGTGAATTGTGCTATTATGGGGAAAGTAAAGAAGGATTCTTCTCAGAGCTATCTGCAGATGCACTATTTAGTTACTCTGATTTCAGACGAAAAATCAAGTTCAAGACTTTCCTCTAGAAGTGAAATATGGCCATTCCTAGCCTTTAGACAGGTGTCCTTTGTGTTCCAAATCAATCATTTCTCAAAGCTCAGAAGCTGAAAAACAGAAGGTAAAATAAAATAGTTTGCTATTTGTAGAAAGCTATAAAGTTTGTTAAAATTAGATTTGAAAAATTTGGGGCTCTGTAGGCAGTGTAAATGACTTCTGGGATTGTACTTCACTGTACAACTGCTTTTTGAGCAGACTTAAGCCTCGAGGGAAACACTGAGTCACTATATCAAAAGCAGTCTTTTACAAAACATCATATTTTAAGAAAGCTGGGGTAGGTTCAACTGAAGTACACCCTGTCAATTATAAAGTCTTAAAATGTTTTACATCAGAAGTTAGAAAAATAAAGATGTATTAGCAAATATCTGAAAAAAACCCTGATTTCGAATGCTGGTAAAAATGCAATGGCAGTGACTACAAAATGGCAGAGATGAAAATTCTTCCCTTATAATTAAAATACATCTCTTTCTAGAAAGATATAACAACATTAAAAATTATTTGTACAAGCAAGAAGAGAAAAAAGTTATCTTTTACTTTAAAATAATATCTAAATTGCATTTTGCAAGAAGGAGTTCCTTGTAAAATGCTCAATGAGTCCTGAAAAAGACTTAGACAAAGAACTAGCAAGGAAAAACTGGACAAATTCAGCTAAAGAAAGAACATGCTGAAAATAAATTATCCATGCAAAATCCATAACACTGTGCAGTTGTGTATAGAAGTTGTTAGACTTTTAGAGGGTTTAAAATTATAAGAGTTTGGTAATTAGTCTATGTATCATATTTTTGTGCTGCATTTGGTAGTTCTTAGCTTTAAAAATACTGTGTGAGTAATCGCCTCATAAACCCCTTTCTTTAGCAGATTTTAAACCCTTATAATTTTCTGTGTGGTTTCATCTACCAGGTGTATACATACACATTGCTCTCACATCTGACCATGACATGCTATTCCTTGCAGTTAACAAGCAAATGTTTAACACAATAGTCTCCATATGTCTATTTGCTTGCAATACATTGCTTCTTTACAAAAAGGCAATAAAGGTCCTTTATTGCATGCAATTTAAGTTCACATACCAAATTTCTCACTCTTCACCGTTCACAAGATTTATTTCATATAAGCAGAGCTCTGGAGAGCAGCTTTCTGACAAAATTGTTTCCAATATCAAATACCCAGTTTTTGTTCAAATTGTCTTTTGCACAGGGTATCTTACAATTGGACTATCCTCTGTAAAACGGAAAAAGGGAAATTATTTACTTGAGACCATCAAGTCCATATTTGAACAGTCAAGCTATGAAGAACTCAAAGAAATCGCAGTGGTAGTACAACTGGCAGATTTTGACTCAACCTGGTGTGAAGGGGTCGTCCAGGATATTTCACAGAAATTTGCACATCATATAATTGCAGGCAGATTAATAGTTATTCACGTCCCTGAGGATTATTATCCTGTACTGGATGGCCTCAAAAGAAATTACAATGACCCAGAGGACCGTGTGAAGTTTCGATCAAAACAAAATGTAGATTACGCTTTCCTTCTAAACTTTTGTGCTAATCTTTCTGACTATTATGTGATGCTAGAAGATGATGTTCGCTGCTCAAAGAATTTTTTGACTGCTGTTAAGAAAGTAATTACCTCACGAGAAGGATCCTACTGGGTGACTTTGGAATTCTCCAAACTGGGATACATTGGAAAGCTTTATCATTCTCATGACCTCCCACGCCTGGCTCACTTTCTGTTGATGTTTTACCAAGAAATGCCTTGCGATTGGCTGCTCATCCACTTTCGCGGGCTGTTAGCTCAAAAGGAAGTGATACGTTTTAAGCCATCTTTGTTCCAGCACATGGGATACTACTCATCTTACAAAGGAGCTGAAAACAAGTTAAAGGATGATGATTTTGAAGAGGAATCATTTGATATCCCTGACAACCCACCTGCAAACTTGCACACCAACATGAATGTATTTGAAAACTATGAGGCAAGCAAGGCTTACAGCAGCATTGATGAGTATTTCTGGGGCAAAGCTCCTTCTAGTGGAGACTTCTATGGAATCGTATTTGAAAAGCCCATTAAAATCAGTAAAATTAAAGTTGTCACTGGAACTGAAGATCGGCAAAATGATATTTTACATCATGGAGCCCTGGAAGTAGGAGAAAAGATTGTAGGCAATAAAAAAGGGAGACAATGTACAACTTACTTGAGACTAGGGGAGTTCAAAAATGGGAATTTTGAAATAACTGATGTAGAGCACAAAGTTCTGTTTGATATTAACTGCATGAGAATACTTGTTACCAAAAGTCAAAAAGAATGGCTGATCATTAGGAGCATTAGCGTCTGGACTTCTCAAACACCAAATCAGTAAAGCAAAGCCACCTGAGCAGGTACAAAGTGCACACAATCATCTGGGTTCCGACTGGTGACATTCCCCAGAAAAACTGACACTTACAACTCTTCACTAAAGACGTAGGAAATCTGGGGAAATCACAAAACAAGTAAAGCAATTTATTTTTTACTAGTTTGGTCAGGCAATATACAAACATTTATTTGCTGAAAATTTTGAATTTTATAGGAGATCTTTAAACTCTTTTTTTATTATTATTTCTCTGGAAGAGAGATCTTTTGGACCATACAGAACAAAAAAAAACCATCCTATAATTGCCAAAAGGTTTAAATCTATGATCAGTATGTTGTGAAAAAAGACTGAATCGCACCTTATGCACATAAAAATTTAAAATTTTATGATAGTATGCATTTGTATTGTAGTTGGTGATATGTTTCTTCTACAGGCAGTTGTGACAAGGAAATCTGTCCTGAAACTGGCAGTTTCCTTCTGAGCACTGTAAGAAAATAGTGTGGCTAATCATTGCAACTTCTTTTCAAAAGGGAATGTATGTAAAATTATAAATCTGACATGAAAATTATGTAAAAAAAGAGATAATTGCATCTGTTATTCTGTCTTAACAAATATCCTTTGTTCTTTTTTCTGGGTCCTTTCACTGAAATTATCAGTACTTGGATTCTATATTACTTAGGGGACCAATCTACTCTCCTTACTTGAACAAAATGTCTCACAGTAAGCAAGGTTTCTGCTCGAGTACTGATGTCAATATCAAACCCAAGCAACTCAAGGGCACCACTGTTCTCTTAGACAGTCATCTTAACAGATCCCAGATGCAACATTTTTTGTTCCTTCATGATGTGTAGAACTCTCCCTGAGAAATTTGCATATAGCTGAATACTACAGCATGCTTTTAGCATAACAGAAGACTCTTATGTCTTCCATATATACACGTCCAGTTTAAGTATGATACAAATACAAACTGTACTAGGTTAATCAATTGGAGGTCAATGTAAGCTCCAGTCTGCTCTGAGTGATTTATAGTCAATAGAAGAGACATAAAATGAGGAATCCTTATTCAATGAGAAATTAATATGGTCCTAAATTAGTTTTTTGGGGGGTTGGGGTTTTTTTTTGCAGTTTTCTAGTTCTAATCATGTTAGTCTTGTAGACATCTTCCTACTGTCTCTGATAGGCATATTTCCTGTGAGAATATTTTGTCTGACTTTAGACAAAAATCAGAAAAGTTCTCTCAGTCTGCATGACTTCAGTGTCAGTTCTGGGCTTCTAGTGCATCACACAGGGAGGCTGTATAGCATATGATTTATACTATATGCATACATTCAGACTAGCAGGATCTGTGGGTTTTATTCTTCTAAGAAATTCTTGAGATATCTCAGTAGACACACTAAAAATACATGAGTAGCAAATGCGACACAGATGAACATTTTATTGTCAGTCTCATGAGTACTATGGTTATCATCTGATTGCATTTATGATTTTTCAGTTAAACCTGGAAGGCAAGAAATTTGAAGAATGCCTGCACTGACCAAGAATGAATTAATGACTGTATGAGTACATCCAAACCTAACATGGCTATTTCAGAAGAGTAAATTATTTTAAAAAACTACACAAACATCAATGCAATTGCTTTTCCTGGTTCATAAACCTGTATAAATTCAGGTCCAGGTCTGTCAAATCCAGTACAAAGGAGAGGTAGGTTGTCAAATAAATCTTCTGATATATGTTTCTACATAATTCAGAAAAGCATCTTTTTCTCAAAGAAAGTCTTGTTTTTTAATATTGATCTTCCATGTTTATAAAATAATTACTTTATAATTAATTATTGGTCAATCCCCATTTCTTTAAATAAGTTGTCATTCTTCTATTTTTCCTTTCATAGAATCACAGAACAGTTTGGGTTTGAAAGGACCTTAAAGATCACCTATTTCCAACCACCCTGCCATGGGCAGGGACATCTTCCACTAGACCAGATTGCTCAGAACCCCATCCAACTTGGCCTTGAACACTGCCAGGGATGGGGCATCCACAGCTTCTCTGGGCAACCTGTTCCAGTGCTTCACCATCCCCACGGTAAAGAATTTCTTCTTTAATCTAAACCTACTCTCCTTTCAGTTTGAAGCCTGTCACTACATGTCCTTGTTAAAAGTCCTTCTTGAACTTTATTGTAAGTACCCTTTAGGTACTGGAAGGCGGCTATAAGGTCTCCCAGGAGCCTTCTCTTCTCCATCCGAACAACCCAAACTCTCTTAGCCTTTCCTCCAGCTGCAGCCCTCTGATCATCTTTGTGGCCCTCCTCTGGACTCATTTGATCATTAACTTGTACTTCATTCACTTTCCTTGATCCTTAACTATTAGTGTCGAAGCAAACATAACTAGGTTAACCAGAAACATTATCTTTACTTTTATTCAGAAGTGTAGTATGTCTGAAGCAATCTTCTAAATTAGAAGACAATTAGAAGACACCAAGATTTCAAATGTTCTTGTAGTCAAAACCATACACAATATGAATGACTAGTAAAAATTAAACATTCTCAACATAAACCTTAGGAATTTAAATGGTATTTTTTAATTACGAGCCTAACAAAACTGCTTTCCTTTTCAAAAAAGCAGAAGTGATGAGACTTGCCTTGGTATAAAGGCTTAGCAGTGAGAACTCTCATCTGGTTGTTACCAATCTTAGAAGGTCAAACCCACAGATGCCCTCAGAGAAAGCTTTCCTTGGCTGTGGATAGTGGTATGTGCTAGGAATGAGAGGCATGCACCACTCTTATTGTTGAAATCGAGTTGATTTGGAAAAATAATTAACAATACATTTATTCCAGAAGAGATTAGAATACAGTTCTGCAAGCTAATGTTTAGTGTTTTGAACACTCACCGTAGTGCATCCAGCTTCTCCTTCACTGAATGCATATTTTATCCAACTCAATCACATTAAAAAGGCTGCCAGATTTAAAAAAAAATTTAAAAAAAGTGAAAAGAAGCCATGAAATCAATGATAACTGGTTTTCAGACAGATTTCAAATACATATGTTTGAAAATATGTTTTTTTCTTTGTATGCTAGGAAAAGTGATTGCTTTCTGAAAGGAAAATATTTAATCAGACATATCTTTACTAATACTTCTTAAAGTTTGAATTTTCTTCTTTTCACTGATTATCACTGTTATAAAGCTCAGTTCATTGGTGTATACAGTTGGTTCTCTTAGTGTGTATTTCCTGGCTTCATTTGTGGCCATCAATATTTTCATAGCAAAATGTGAATACTGAAAATATTTCACTGTGATCTGCACAGTGATGGATCTGTTCTTAACTCACATACATGCATTGTTCCTACTAGAGTTTGGGATTCCTCATTGTGTAATGTCCTTGGGCCTTTTTTTTTTCTTTTCTTAACTAAAAGCCAGTTTGTCTTCTACCTTTCTGCACACAGGTATGTCCACACATCCTTCTGACATAAGAATTCTTGGGAAGTAAACTACTCACTGTGAATTAAAAGAAGAAATGAGCCCTTAGTTTACTGCAGAATAAACAAACCAGGAGAAAACAATTTTCAGGCAAACCAGGTTTAGAATATTTAAGATGTGTACTATGATAAACGTGATTCACTAAGGTGCTCTATGAATGTGTTATTTTTAGATCAATCTTCTAACATGATGCTCTGTTTTACTCTCTGCTCAGTATTCTCTTGTGTTAGACCCTAATGTTTTTGCTTTTATAAAGGGATGTTGGGAACTTGTTTGTTATTGAATTTTTAAAAGCTAAATAAACAACAAACATGACACCTTATAAAAGATTTCATTTTGGAAACTTATTAAGGGAAAAAGCCCCATGTTTAACTGTCTTAAAAACCACAGATGACACCAGCTTTCATTGTGAAGCATTTCGGAGAATCTAATGGAAATGGTAGCTCTTACTACTCTCAAGTTAAATTTGCAGTTTTGCTAAGTAGCATTTAAATAAATATTAAATTATAAGTACTAATGCAGATCATGTGTCATGAGCTCCAGTGTCATATTCTCAAATGGTAAAGTATATTATTTTGTAAAAACAAGTGAAAATGCAGATATAATTAAAATAAATTAGATGATCTTGATTTCGTGTGCTGTATACAAAGACAAATTGATTGGATTACCTCCACCGCTCCACCAGTTTTTAAGATAAAGTAAGCAAGGGGCTTAATCTTTGTCCTTTACTCATTAGTCCTTGGAGATGAAAATTATAGAATTCCTACTGCCTGTATTGGAAGCTGGATCATAGAAGACTGAAAGTGTGATTTTGCAAAATAATTATATATATATATACATTAAAATATTTGTCTTATCTTTTTCATTTTAGTTTTAGCCATTCTGGAAGACTGAAATGAAAATAGTCTTCAGAAAAATGTCTTTTGGTATCTTCAGATGGCATCTCCCAAGATCTTGTCTCGTTTACCAGTTTTGTCACAGCAAGTACATTCTGTGTCACCTAAGTCTTCATGCCCTTAAGCAGAACAGTCAGTCATGTAGACCAAGCCCATATTACTGCTTTTGTTGTAAAAGAAAGGAAGAACATGTCCGGTCAGTGTACAACAGTTGTCTAAGATCTGATTCCTTCTAATCTATCTAATTCCTTGCTTGATCTAAAGCATTATTTATTTCATGTTAGTTTAACAATGAAATTAAGTACAGAGAAAGATTAATTGCAATAACATTTCCATGATAGTAGTTTGCTGTTAAACTCCAATTCAAAGAAATTGAATTGGCATCTGAACAGATACTAGACTATTTTTCAGCCACATTTCTAGATGTTTTTCAACTGTTATGCTACTTACTACCAGTTCTCAAATAAAATTCCACTTTGTCCCAATAGCTGTAAAAAAGATTCTTAAAATCTCATATAGATATTGAAAGTACTAAAACCTTTGCAAGCCCTTTGCTGGGCTTATATAATAGTTTCACATTTAACAAGTAAGGCTGTACATCAAAAGCTGATGCTCACTTCCTCTGTTCAAACTGTTAAATACCTGCCTTCCTTCTCTTTTGCTATTTACCCATTAATGTTGGTTTTACTTTTGCCAGTTCAGGAAAACCTACCTGACAGCCATGGAAACCTCGGGCCGTGAATTCTCAGTCTCAAAGGTACTGTGTTTGTACTTTATGAAATGTTCCCATTTCTTAACAGACAGGTACTATTTTTTTGAAAACCAGCACAAGCGGTGTATGGTTTCTTGGACCCTCCCCTGATGTTATTAGAGTGGATTTTCTTCCTACATAACTGCATCAAGCAAAGATACTAAAATAGACATTACCAGGAAAAAAGAAGCCTGCTATGCAAAAAACATACTTTTAATTTTTAAAACCAGGTTTAAAGGTTTCTTTGTGATCAGGCTTCATCTGTCCTGAGAAATTTAAGTAAAAAATATGAAAATACCATATTTGCAAGGTAAGGTTCAGTAAATATTATGTGTGTGCATTTCTGCTTATGATTGTACTTAAATTATTTTTTAAAGGTGGTTGTTTGTCAGAGTATTATCATTGTATTAACCCTTTTACAACAAAAAGGCAGCCATGACGGCCTCCAGAACTGCTCCTTTTTTTGCTGTCTCAAAAAAAAAAGAATAGATTCAGCATTCAAAAGCATTGCCTTGAGCGTTCACACTGATGTGGAACACAAAGAACAATATAGGCCGTGGGTCCAGCTTGCTGTACTGCAACTCTGGAATACTTATGTCTATCAGAGTTGGGGAGGAAATATCACAAGGAGCAGGTCCTATCCCTGCCAGAGTATATGTAATATTTTTAAAAATAAATGTAAGATATGAAAAGACCTTTTGACTTAATGACCTTCTCTTTAACCACAGTATCATTCAGTCTTCTTTTAATTGTAGATACCATAGTTCCATTTATGTAACTTGGGCCAAATGTACATATAACCTAAAAGGAAAAAGCGTATTTAAAGGACTTCCTCAAATATAATTCACTGTGTTCTGATAACCTAGATTTAGAGTTGCTGCTCAAACTGAAGTCTAGAGCAACAATTTAAAGTGTTCTGAGTTTTTTCTTTAGTATACCTTGCACCACTAAGAACAGAGATCTGAGATCTGAGCAGAGATCTTTGCTG